TCTCTCTCTCTCACACACACACACACACACACACACACACACACACCAAACAACAACAACAAAATCCCACCAATTAAGTGGGTCGTAACGGTACACACCTATAGTCCTAGCAGTCAGGAAGCTGAAGTTAAGATGATCATAAGTTTGATAACATGTATAAAAGTAAATAAAGACACACGGTGCATATCAGTTTAAGTGAAGACCTGTACTACCGTGGCCCTTCCTGTGTGTTGGCGGAAAGCGTCACACCCAGGAGGGAAGTATTTATTTATTTATTTATTTGAGTGTCTGTTGTACACAAAGGCTTTTGAACGAGGAACTAATGCTTGCAGAAACTATCCAAGATTGTCACTGTTCCCATCTTAAGAAAAAGTTCAGAAGCTAGGAAATAGATTATAACAGCACTATAGTAGGCAAGAACTTAGGTAGTCTACTCCACTCTGCCTTAAGCTGTGGAACTGTCAACCAGCTAAACCTAACTGCTGGCTCCTCTGTCCCACGCAAGGAACGCCATGAAGCTGTTGTACGGCGGACGATGGAAAGGAGCCAGAAGCCAAAGCAGAAATATAACCGGTGGTCGTGGGGAGCCCCTCTCCACGGGAGCCCCAACATCCACAGTGCAGGTAAATACAGGCGCCACTTTCAAGTCTCCTCTTCGGGTTTGGTTTGGTTTTTTCCTGGACAGTAAAAGTGCATTTGCTTCCCCCCCCCCCCTAAATCTCTGGTTGTAAAACAAAACTCCTGCTGAAGTCATTAAACTGTAATTAAATGATGCCCCCGCTGTTTGAACACAAGAGGGTGATGGAGGTAAGATCCAAGGACCTCTCTGCCTCCACACGAGTTCCTTTCTGCTGGGGTTGCAGAGTCCCCTAGAGATGAAACCTATGCAGCATTCCTAAAACTCGCCAGTCTGAACTGTGTTAGTGACTCATCTGCATGAGGTTCCCGTGGCTGTGGGATAAGTTAACCCAGGTCACATTCTCCTCGGGAAGAGTCTCAGCAGTGTATCGGGTCAGACGAGTCAGTGCTATGCGGATGTGTGCTCTGACACTAACATGTGCAGCCCTGATGTTCTGTAGAGACACGTGCAGCTGTCTTAGACTAGAAGCAGTAGTGAGTATCCACGCTACCTCTCTCCTTGAGTGGATAGAAAATTACATTGAAATATGAACTTAGCGAAAGTTTTATTTTTGTACTGTAAATTCAATACACCTTAACGCTGACATAGTCTGTTAATTCTTTGTCATTGTGTGAGTCTGGCACTCTCTCTCTCTTTCTCTCTCTTTTTTTTTTTAAATCATGTCTTACATTCTGTCCCCAGATGGTTTATTGAATCCTTATTCATCTTCTCCATCTAGCAGGGGTAGACCACCATGCCACAGCTTTGGGGTGTACCAGAGATGCTGGTACAGACATCCCTGTCGTCATTGCCGCCTGCCTGCTTTAGCTAGCCCCTGAGACTGAGGACCAGTTCATGGCTAGCTGAACCATCACCGCCCTAGTCATCACGCATGCCCGCTGTCTATCACGTAGACCTAGATCTGAGATGGGCACAGTGTTTCTTAAGTGTGATGTTATGACTCAGGCGACTTAAAGCTGTTGAAACAATTACACATGGCATGCTTGCTTTCCTTTTAAGTCATTTGTAATAAAGCCTATTTAAATGTCTTTTAGCTAAGAATCAACTGTAATCAAAAGCATACATTTAATGGCTCCTGCAACTCTTAATGCTATGCACCTATAGACAGCTTTACTATTATCTGAGTAATTGAATGTTGTTTGCTTGTTTGCTGTGTTTTTTCATTACTGTTTTTCGTAACCACAGTTTATTTTCCCGTAACACTGAACCAAACGTAGAAGCACATTTTCCCCCGTGTCTCTTTACCACCTGTGATGGAGCACACACCAAATCTGTCATCGTAAACATGACAAGTTTGTATGCAACCTTTCATTTGGAAATAGTTTTCATGGATGTTCCAGGAAGAAAAAATGCCCATGGTGAATGTTTTTATGACCATGTTTTTCTTTTACTGAGCTTCATGCTTCCTGTCCATATGACAGAAATGGTCTGCTCTGCAGTGTCAGACATCATTGAGAAGCAGCAAAGCTACTAACCCTTAATTCTTGCTTTCTCCTTCGCCATTCAGAGCAGTCCAGCCAGCGACGCGTTTCTGAGCTGTCGGGTAAAACCCAGGTTTATAATGACTGGATTGGAGCAAACAGCTGGTATACTAAAAAAGAGACGTGTGTGAGAAGTGACTGGGATTTGTTGAAGTTCTCGAAGGCTGGGGTGATCTGCTGTGGTGTTGAGAGAGACATCCAGTTCTGCTCATTCTTAGCACCTTCTCTTCATGGCAGTGCCTGTGAGAAGCCAGCCCCTAAGCCTTGCCAATCATGCCAAGGTCTCCAAGCCTAGAAACGGTCCCCATTAAAGTTAGCATCTTGTCTGACCACTGATCCATCAGCTAGTACTACCATGAAAACGATTTTATTTGTAAAATCACCAGTCTTTTTGTGAAACTGTTTTCCATTCAGTGACAAGAAGAAATGAATGAGAATTGTCTCAGATGACACACTGTGGCATGCCTCCATGGCTTCAACCATCTGTCCCGGAGCTGAAGACTTTGGCCATTCACACTATTTGGGTGGATAAAAGACTGTCTAGCTCATTTTTTTTTCTACTTACTAGGAAATAGAACTAAATGTTTTTAGTAACCTATTGAGAAATACCAGAGGATAGGCTTAGTATAGACACCACTCCCTCAGCTAAAGCTTAGTGTGTAAACAACATCAGGAAGAGTTGCTCTTGTGTCATGTGGACATGGCTTTCATCCTTCCTCAAGGACACACCCACGGTCCTCATCAGGGTGAGCCTGTCAGTCAGTATTTTCCCTCTATGCTTCTATTTCTTCTCATTGCCCAAGCCCCATCAGATAAGTGAAAATGTAAGTCACAGTAATCATGTTAGGTCATTTTTTTTTCTTTCCTTTTTTAAAACATCGTTAAATTCCCAGCTATAAAATTTAATCCCAGTTGAAAACTCATGTCTCATTAATGAGTTATTGCCAGTAGATTATAGATAATCATCAAAATGGCTATGCTATCGGGCAAAATTCATTAAAAATATTTACTGTCCGGATCATTCAGACCAGTGGGAACATTTCTCTTGCGCTTCCACTGGCCACTAGAAGAAAACACGGCACTGCTTCTTTAATTTCAGCCGTTGTAGATCTGGGCGTCCACGCACTGCTGACAGGTACACAGGGAGATGGGTAGATTTTTGTCTCGTGTGGTCCGTTCAGACGTCATGAGTCTACTAATGAGTAAGACTGTGATTTGTCTGTGCTGTGTCGATAACAAATTAACAGAACTGATTTTTTGGGGTTTTTTTGCCTTTATAATGAGTTTCCCTTCTGATGTGAACTCTGAAGTCATTCTTAAATTATTTGCCTACAGGATAATTTTAACGATAATACTCATTGACTTAGAATTCTGATTTATTGCTGCCAGTTCTGTTGGGAAGTTTATGGACTGAGTCCACTTATGATGTCTAGAGCCACACACACCCAGCACTAAGGATCAAACCCAGAGCCATGGCACGGTTTGGCTGACTACCACTGGACCCTTTTTGTTTATTTATTTTCTATTTGGAGACAGTCTTAGGGCTGCAGATACAGTGGTAGAGCATTTACCTAACAATGGGTTCAACCCCCAGGAG